GCAGCTGTGTGGCCGCAGCCTGCCAGCCCTGCAGCGCAGGAAGTCCCCGGTGGGCTGTGGATCAGCGCCCCGCTCACGCAGGGCTGGCATTGCACGTCTGACGCCACACAGACGAGCAGCGAGCCCTCGAGAAAAGGAAAAGCTGGGGCTGGAGGGGGGGTGCTGATCACAAAACCCTCCCCACTGCGCTCAGCACAACGGTTGATTACAAAGTGGTCTGCGTACAGAAACCCACCACGTCTCGGTCTGCACAGTCACACCCTTCCCTCGCGAACTCTTACACACACAGATCAAAACCTATACTGCAGACCAGCTGCAATTAATCTAGAACCAGTTAAAGATTAAAAAAACCCCCACTGGAGCAGTTTATAAAAATCCTGATCACCACCCATGTTAGGCACCTAGCCTAAAACCTTGCACCAGTCTAACTTGGGTGTTATTGCCTCCCTTTTTGCTGCACCTTTGGGTGGGGGTCTCCCTCAGAAACATGCCCTCTCCCCTCCTGCTGCTGAAGCTGCCAGCACGGCCGGTGAACGGGGACAACGGGATAATCGGCAATTGCAAAACTGAACCCTCCACCCTTCAACACCAGCTGAGACGCCAGCGCCTGCCTGCGAGCAGAGTGCGGGTGGCACTGCTGGACGTGCGGCTCCGACACCGTGAGCTGTCACTGAGCAGGGCTTCGCTGGCAGCATGGGGGCCCGCAGACGCTGCTGTCCTGGCGCACCCACAAGCTGGCACAAGGCTCACCAAAGCACACAAATGAGTCCAAGCTAAACCAGCCCGGCTCGACACGCATTATTAAACCATATGGTAATGCACCCAGGAGTTGCTACCCTCCACCTGGAGTAGACAGCAGAGGTTAGTCATGCTGCATGGGCAAGAGTTTCCCCCCCCACTTCGATGAAGATGATCCTGTACTTCTATTTCTACACCACCTCTTAATAAAAGGGAGGAAATAAAGGGATGGAAGTCACCAAAGAAATGGCACGTGGTGATCTTTCTTGCTCATGCTTACACCTTGTGCA